ATAGTGCTGCCACTGTCTGTATTTTCTGCAAAGCTGAACAAGAAACAGTTCAACATGTGCTGATCTGGTGCCCTTCGGTCTGGAGAGTTTGGACGGGTCTCCTGCAATGGTGGGGAGCCCTCTGGGTAGTGCCTCAAACTGTTGATGGCTTACTGCAGTGGTGGGCTGGAAGCAAGGTCATGAAAGCTGAAAAAATAATTTGGAATGCTATCCCCTTGGTGGCTCTCTGGTCCATTTGGAAGCACAGGAACGAGTGCATCTTCCAAGATTCTCAACCTAACATGGTAGAACTTCTTGAAGTTATCATTATTAGGCTAGCAATCTGGTTAAAAGCCACGTCCTCGGATCTTCCTTTTTCTGTAACTGATTTTCTGCATAATCTGGAGCAAATCAGATTTTGTTTGGGTAGGAGAATGTAAGGTTGTATTATCTAAAGGGCCTGTTTCTGTTTCTGTTTCTATTATGATGGTTGCTGCTGGTGGCTGCAATGGTAAGCGCAAGGGTCTGTTATGTTCTGCTATGCAAAGGGTCTGTTTCTATTTTTTTTTATCTGCTGGTGCTTACTGCTGTCATCTGGGTTGATTGTTGTGTGCCCATCTTGGGTAAGTTTGGGTGTGGTCCTGCAGGTGGATGGATGAGGTGGGCTGTTATGTCCTGCAGTAGGTTTCTTATGCCAACTTAAGGGCTGTGATGGTCTGAATTGGTGTGAGTCCTAGGAGTCCTGGGAGTGTTTCAGGTAGAACAAAATTCTGTTGGTTGATTAAGGACCTCTGTTAATAGTGGTGATAATAGAGAGAGGTTCGAGAGTGTTATGCTGGGTTTGGGTGATTGCAAGGTCTTTTTGTTTTTTGGTGTTTGCTCGTTGGTCTCTCACCAACTCTGGGGGTGCTAGCAAATGATAGGATGAGCTAGTTTGGTGCCAACCTCGTTGGGATGATCTAGCCCATTGTGATGCCTTTGCACCTCCCTCTTGTCTTTATTGATGTAATTCACTTTGTACATTGTACTGGTTTTCCATCAATAAAGTCTTTTTCTTGCTGTTTCAAAAAAAAAAAAAGTCGTCGATAGCTTCAAGATGATGCCAACCATTCTGTCATGTACAAACTTCGGTTGGCAATTTATTTTGTTCAGGTATGAAGCTTTTCTTAAGCTTTCAGCATTTTGAATATTATATAAATAACTAAATTAAAAAGTCATCTTGTGGCTTCTCACTCACAGTGCTTGTGTTCACGTTCAACTGGTGGTGTCTTCACATCAAATCACGCAGCTACATGGTGTTTGACATTATGAAAAATTCATGTAGTGTTGATTGTTTCTTTTTCTATTTTTAATTGTGTGCATTCATATCTGGAAATCATAAGGATTTTTTCTATTAATTTGCCTTGTGATTGCAACATCTGCCTAAAAGTGCCAGGATATTTAACTATGGACAATTACTTGACAGTTGGGTCAGAGGAAAAAAATTAAAAATTAACAAAAAAAGTTTATAATATTGATTATTAATTTGTATAATGTTTTTCAGTTTTTGGTAAATAAGTGTAACTGACACAATAAAAAAAAGCCTTATTTGAGTAAAGATCACAAATGAAAAAGTTTGGGGATGTGGTTGGTATTAAAACTAGACGACAAACATTGGAAATGATGATATTGATAGAATTGTAGTGTTGATCGGATATATACATATAAATGTTGTTTTATTTATAAAATGGTATTGATAGTCATTTAATTTGTTCATATTACCTTTACTTTCCTTTGACATTTTTCATTTTTTGTCTAATTTTCTAATCATTTGATGTGCAAATATTTTCATAAAAAAAATACCTGACAATATTTTTGTTTTTCTTTGGTACTGATGGATGAACTCATGCATGAAGCTGAATTGTACAGCATTAGTTGGCACTTGTTGCATTTTTTGAAGGATTATATATTTTTTGATAGATGTGTATAGAAAATATTTGGATAGACTAGTAGTTATATGTTTAGATAGATGAGCATGGATTAAAATTTAAAATATAATAACATGTACTTGTTATGTTTTAAATTTTTTATGCTAGATGGATGTGAATTGGATGATTATATAGATTACATGACTTTTAATTGAATGGTTATGTAGTTTGGAATTACTTGTGGATGGAAACTTATAATAATTGATGACTTTAATTAAACAGATTAAGGATTTGATGATTTATGTATTTTGTTGGATGTTCATGATTCAGTTGATTTTGTAGGTTTAAATGATTCTTGCAAATTACAGGTTATATTAAATGGATTTGATGGATTATTATATTTTGATAAACAAAAAGAATTGAATTGGCGACTAAAAATTGGTTTTGTTTTCCCTCTTTTGGCGACAAAGTGATTAGTCGGGAAAGATGAGTAATACTTTTGCCGACTAAAGTTGTTAGTCGGTGTATAACCACTCACATTTGGAGACCTGCAAAAGGGTATATTTGGCAACTAAATAATTAGTCGGTAAAATTATTAATTTTAGCAACCAAAGAGTTTGGTCGCAAATAGGTCTATTGCCGATTAAAGTTTTAGTCGCGCAAACATAACTTTTGGCGACTAACCGATTTGGTTGGGAAATGTTACTTTTGGCAACTAACATGTTTAGTCGAGGAATGGTATAATTAGCGACTAAAATATTTAGTCGGAAAAATATCACTTTTGGCGACTAAAGTGTTTTAGCTACAAAATGGATTAGTCATGGTAATTATATATTTAGCGACCAAAAATTTAGTCGGCAAATAGAATTTTTTCCCGACTAAAAAACTTTTTAGTCGCTAATTATTTTTCGCGAACCTCACTTGGCGACCAAAGTGGCAACCAAAAAAATTAGTCGCGGATAACTTTTGCCGACTAAAAATGAACTTTTGCCTACTAAATTTTTAGTCAGCAAAAGTGTGAATTCCTGTAGTTGGAGTCCATCGCAGGTCCTATTTCAATAACTCAAACTATTCATTTTGTCAGACACTTCATGTATTTCATACATACAAAAAATTAAATTGATTCAATAACTGCAACGTGTTCAATTTAATATTTTTTTCATCAAAAAAATGTATGGTTTATTTTTTAAAAACACAATTATCAGTCATTTTTTTAATGAAAAACACAATAAATGAACAAGTTATAATTATCGGATTAACTTAATTTTTTGTGTGAATGATATGCATGATGTGTTCGAGAAAACAAATGGTCCAAATCATTAAAACGGGACCCGTCGTGAGCCACACAAGGCCAAACAACACCCCTACAATCAAAATTTTGGAATTGAGGGAATCCTCCTCATTTTTTTAACTAATTAAGGTACGTGAATCAAAAGAATTCATTATTCTTAAAATTTCGTTAAGGTTTTGTAATCAAAAGGGTCTACAAACACAGAAAAAGGACGATCATAAATTACACAGATTACAACCTTGTTTAGTTTGTATCTCAAGATATAATTTTTGAAAAAAAAAATTAAAATTTTGTTTGGTTCAAATTTTTTGAAAAAAAATTTCCAAGTTTACTTTCTCTCTCCTACATATCAATCAATCACTTTTTCTCTCTACTCTTTCCTTTTCAATCAGTTTTGCTCTCATACATATTTACTCAACTACAACAAAATATCAAATCATTCCAAACTTCCAAACTCTAAAACTATTTTCAAAATATACAACCAAACAAATCAAAAAAAATTCTAAATTTTCTTCCCAAATTTTTTTTTGAAAATTTATCTCAAAACACAAACTAAACACACCCTACAACTTTAAGGCTAGGATTTATTTGCAGTGAACTAACAATTAGATGATTAAATCTACATCACCAATATGTGATTCTGATCAATTTCTAGTTTTTATTTTTGGTATTATAAATTTTTCTTTCCGTAATATTTACATAGGAAAATGTTATGGTATATATCATCCCTTTTAAGGTGTGTACCATATGTAAGTTATGTTATTTGTAAGTTTGATCGTTACAAATGACATAACTCAATATGATGATACTCATAATAAAAAAAAAATTAAGTTATAACTAAATATCACATGAGATATAACCAAACAACTCCTAAGTCATAATCAAAATTTTATCATAACTAACATCAAAATGTGTCAAAACTAACAACGTCGTATGTCATAACTATTGACTCAAACGTCATAACTAAAGGAGTATATAATACACACCCCTGTACTATTGACTTTTCCATTTACATATCAACAACACTACACATCCAAAAAAAATTACTTACAAAAATATTTCAAAAATTAATTATGTAATCGAAATTTATTTAAAGTGTGATCCACAATATAAGAATAGAGTCTATACCATAAATGTCTTGTCTGTAAGATTCTAGACAACTTTCTAGGCTAATAGCATTTCTTTATACAGGGAACCCAAACAAACAATGGTGATCTTTTCCCCCAAAATGCAATGCATGTGTGTGGTGGAGTAAGTGTATTGTAAAATTGATGTGTGGAATAAATTTGGATCACATGTTAAAAATTGTGTATAATTTCTGGTGATAATGCTACAATACATACCTTTAATCAAACTTAATCAAAGGCCTTAATAGATCATAATCAAACACCTTTGAGGTATAATCAAAGATCTCTAAAGTCATAACCAAAATTACAACCATAATAGATCATAATGAGTGATAACCAACAACACAATGTGTAATAACCAAGAGTCATAAACCAAACATCACTTGAGACATAACAAAAGACTTTTTTAGTCATAACCAAAGTAACAACCACAATATATCACAAGTAAATTATAACCAATATCACAAGAAGCCATAATTAAAAGCCATAATGGTCATAACTGGTGCATATCATAGAATTTCCCAGTACACATTTATTTACGTATACATACATAAGAAATGAAAAGATAAAACAGATATGAAATCTGGGTTGAGTTGAGTAGCCCTCAACATCACAAACTTCCAGCAATAAAGCAACCCTGAAGCTCAGCCAAGCTGTTTCTTTTATTTATTTGTTTTTATTTTTAACATATTATCATTACAACTTTTCTTGTTCAGTCTCATACTTGAAGTCGATGTAATTGCTGCCAGTGTAAATGCCATCATCTATGGTTTCAGTATTTTGTTGTCTATCAGTAAGAGTGGTGGTGTCGAGCTGCTCATAAGAGAAGGGAATGTCGCACGAAGCCTTTGTCGCTATCAGATTCACCCTCACCATTGTCATTGGTGGCACACTAAACTTGTACAGATTCTCCTTATCAGTTGTCAATGACTCAGTTTGTCCCCACTGGTAATCTCCACTAAATTCACCCGAAAGCTCAATTTTTCCCTCTGCAATAATGAGTGGAACAGTGGATTGGATGGTGGTTTTAACACCCAACAACTTCAATGAAATGCTGGAATTCCAAGCACGGGTCTTACTCTCTGAATACGAGAGCTTGACGTCTACAGTTTTGGGTTCTTGGGTTCTGTTAATAGCATCTTCAGTGGCCAACGTGAGGATGCTCCGGTTGTAAATCCTGGCATCTCGGAGGCGAAAATTGACATTATATATCTTCCTTGAGGTAACTGTTTCATCCACCTCTAGGTGCACCTCTGTGGAAATGGTGGACACATTAGCACTGAGACAGTTAATCTTCCCATTGGTGGAGGAGAGTACGCATCTTGCATAGCTTCCCGTTACCCAAGTTACGGAGAGCAGCGACGTTGTTGCCAACTTTGGTAGGCCAAAACAACATGTCAGATTTAGGGGAGTTGTTTTCTTGTTTTTGCTTTTGGTTTCTTCCTTTTTCTGATCGGCCAATAAAAATTCTAGTTAAAACGGAGGAGGAAGAGGAGTTGTTGTTGTTGTTGCTGCTGCTGCTGCTAGTGGAGTCATCTGAATCAGCCAAGATCCAATTCTGGTTATGATCCAATTCTGGATGTTGCGCCCCCAGAATTTGCCAAGTAATGAGACTTTATGCGAATGCTTCCATTAGGAGTTGTGATGACCTCGTTGCAGACCATGGGATCTGTAATGTCACTGGATGAGGAGAAATGTAGATATTGGTGTCCTATTATTGCCTTTGAACGCCACGCACTTGGGTAGTATGAACAGTGATTCCCAATCAATGATGGTGTAGAGATCACGTCGATCCGGGTCAAGCATTGAATTTCCTGCGAATAAGCAAAAATCACGAGGAGAGGCTATCCTCCATAAGCATACATAGGAGCCAACTTTAACATGGCGAAATCAAATTGTTTGGGCTACAACATTTTCGTAAAGGGGCTCGAACAACGTGCATGACCATTGTTTTTGGTCTTCCTCTGGTTCATCAGCACTGGCAACAATCCAACGATGCATCGACGACCACTTTACCAAGTATTTGTTGTTGTAACAACATCTTAGGTGCACAAATGGTCTCCTCCCACCATTAGTCTTTGCCATCACCACTTCGTATTTTGTGTATGGGCTCACAAACTCCTCCCCAGAGAATTGGACAAACGCATGCTCCAAACCATCTTCATGTATGTAGCGCAAGTATTTGCCATTGTAGTTTGATTTGATCGCCACAAACCTTGGCAATGCTATTGTCTCTCTTGTAAAAGCGTTGGATTTGGGCTGCACTAATGACAGCATTTCCCAATTGATGATTGTGAAGACATCGCATTGATCTTTGTCAAGGTGTGCTGATGCTGCGTATAAGCATGAACTTTTTGCGCTTGTTACCCTCATTAAGCCTGCATATTTGCCGAGCTAGACGTGACGCAATCGAATTGTTTGAGTAACAGATCCAATTTTTGTTTGAGCAGCGTCACAATCACTTACTCGGCGGGGCTCAAATAAAGTGCATGACCATTTGGATTGGTCTTCCTCTGGTTCGTCAGCAGTGGCAAGAATCCACCAGTGGCTGGGCGACCATCTTACAAAGTACTTCTTGTTGTAACAACATTTTATATGAACAAGTACATTCCCATTACTACTAGTATTCGCCTTCTCCAATTCGTACTTTGAATACTGACTAGAAACCTGCTCTCTAGAGAATTGGAGAAACCCATGCACCTCCTCATCATGTATGTAGGGCAAGCACTTGCCATTGAAGTTTGATTTCAGCACCGCAAACCTTGGTAATGTCATGTTCTCTATTGTAAATGCTTCGTCTTTCGGTGGCAAAACTAGCAGTGTTTCCGAATCAATGATTGTGTAGACATCACACTGATCTTTGTCTGGTTCTGGTGATCCTGCACATAAGCATAAATCACGTGGAGTTGCTTCCCTCCATAAGCATGCATAGCAGCCGAGCTGGACGTGACGGAATCGAACTGTTTGAGAATCATCATTACCATCATTATTATCTACGTAAAACGGCTCGAATAAGGTACAGGACCATTTGGATCGGTCTTCTTCTGGCTCATCGGCCCCTGCAACAATCCATGGGTCATTGGCCGACTTCATTACAAAGTATTTGTTACTGTAACAACATCTTATATGCACACATCCCTTCCCACTACTAGTCATTGCCCTCTTCAATTCAAACTTTGTGTACTGACTACAAACCTCGTCTCCGGAGAATCAGAGAAACCTGTGCACCGGCCCATATTCATGTATGTAGCGCAAGTGTGGGGATATATTTTCTGAGTACCAACACGTGGCAAGGTGACGCCGACGTGTCAGCCGACGTGCCACGTGTCTTGGTCGTTGTGCCGAGGTCATCTCGGCTAGGCCGAGGTTACCTCCGAAGATATCGGAATTCGAGATAAGCAGATAAGGGATGAGAGTCCTAGAATGAAGAGGGAACTCAACCTGGATATGGACAAGAGTCCTAGATTGGGAGAAGACTCTAGTTTGGGTAAAGATAAGACTCTTAGAGAGTTTTGTCCTAACTCCACTAGGAGTCCCAGATAAGCAGTAATCCTGAGTCCATAGAAGTCAGGCTTCTATTGGGACTAGGATTGAGTTGGCTATAAATAAGAGGCACCCCCATGGGTCTAAGGTACGCAATTTATATTCT